CAAAGCCCGACATAGCCACAGAGGTGCTACCGTGCTAACCCACGGTGCCATGTCAGTGCAGCCCTACGAGCTGCAGCACCTTAACTCAGATTGTTAGATCAACCCGACCTGTCCTCCACATAACGCAATCTTCGCCTCCAGCAACAGGGAGACAGCCTCTGCCCCGACAGCTGCATTTGCAGCCCGGACCGTGCAACAGGGGAAAAGCTAGAAAGGAGCAAGGCACCTTCCTACAGCTCCCACAGTGCCATACTTACATTCCACTCGTAGGCCGTGGCGGCGATTCCCGACGCTGCCCCGGACCCAGCCAGGCCTATGAAATGCCCGCTCCCCACATTGCTCGCAAACAGCGATGCCCCCACCTGCAGAGGTAAAGAGCAAGCTAGTTCTGTGTATGGCCCGGGGCACCCATCAGACCATGGGAGGAGTGTTTGGCCCGGCGGGGAGGGGGTCTCAGTAGTGAGCCATGTATAAGCCAATGGAGCGGGCCAGAGTCTCCCCATTGGATCCATTGCATGTAGGCCTGGCAGCACCCTAGGCCAGACGGCAGTGGGAATGGAAAACCCCTCCCTCCTAGCCCCTGCTGCCTTTTCTCATCGCCCCATTCATGCACTGACACGGTAGCTGTCAGACCTCACGCCTTCCCTCCTGCTCTGTCACTCATCTGCGAGGTTGCATGGAAGCAGCCCGCTTCCTGCCCGCGGCGTCATGGTCCCTCCACTGGGGAGCCTCAAAGACAAGCAAAGAGGCACGGGATGAAACAAAGAGACACGCCAAGCGATCAGTCAGCTGGTATTTACTTCATTATGATCCGCCCATCCCAGATCCAACCCTTGCCCGTGGCGGACCAGCTAACAGCCCCTTCCTCCCCAGAGACCGGTCAGCTGTGCCCCTGGAGCCCCACGTCAGAGCTGGAGGAAATGGATGAGCCTAGGTGCAAGTCAGCAAACAGAGATCTTGGCGCAGAGGGTGGGGGCTGTGACAGGGATGTTAGTGGAGGGGAAGGCCTTGGAAACAGGGAAAGCACGTCGCCGGCTTTCCTCTCCTGACCGGAAAGAGGCCTGCCGGGGCGGACAAAAGCACCGTTCAGTCCCGCTGCGGCATGGTGGGACAGGCAGCTTCACGAAGACACTTACAGGCCACAAGAAATAGCCTTTCACCGTGCTTCGCTTCGTCTTCCACATGGACTGGGAAAGCAGAAAAACAGGACAAAAGCTTTAGATCAGTGGGTTTCAAACAGCGCTGGGCGGTGGAGTGTCGGGCCCTGCGGCTCGTGGCTGCAGGGAGACCAGGTGAGCAGTGTGGGGGCTAAGGCAGCTCCCTGCCTGTCCTGGCACCACAGGCTGCGCTGCGCCCCAGAAGCTGCCAGCAACAGGCCCAGCTCCTAGGTTGGGGAGAGGGGAAGAGCGCACAGGACTCCATGCACTGCCCCTGCCCTGAGCACTAGCTCCGCACTCCCGCTTCTGGGCCCAGCATGGTCTGCGGTGCCAGGAGAGGCAGGAAGCTGCCTTAGCCCCCCCGCTGCACCACTGCCCGGGAGCTGCTTGAGGTCAGTCCCTCCTGTCCCAGCCGTGCCCCCCCCGCCCCCCAAAGCTGGAGTCCCCTCCTACACCCCAAAGCTCCATCCTCAGCCCCACCCCGGCGCCCACACTCCAGTCACGTTCTGTTGAGTTGCGGCCTCAACGATTCTTTTCAACAGGGTCATGAGAAAGTAAGTTTGGAACCCGCCCCGTCAGACATCCCTGCGTTCTGCTCGGAACGTGACAGCGCACAGCGGTTCCCCGGAGGGGCCCTATCCCCTCATCCCCACTGGACGCCATGGGTGACTTTGTTATGGTGGAAGAACCATCAACTGCAGCAGCTGCTGGGGGCTTGTGGGGCAAAGGTCTGAAAAGAGGGAGACCATGAAAAATAGCTGCCGAGGGAGGAAGGGAGCTGCCATCATGGAGAGGGTTGAGTCCGTATCACATGCAACAGTTTTTACAATCTCGGCTTCCTGGTTAAGAGTTTTCTGCAATAAATGTAAAGATCGCTGCAGATGCATGAGGAAGGCACGCAGATTTGGGTCGCCAGAGAGGGGCATTACTTGTTCTATGCATCGGAGAGGGATACTCGGGATTAGACTTAGAACTCTGGACTCTCGCTTTTTATGATCTTCACTTATCGTATAACACACTGCATGAGTTATGAACCCATATCTGGAGAGCGCAGCAATTCCCGTCCAATCTCCTGACAGCTGGGTGGGCCTTTCCCTGTGACAGAAACCATGCCAGGAAGTTGATTTATGGCCCAGCTAGGAGTACTTGTAGTTTGAAGGATCTGCTATCAGAATCTTATTGTCAAGCAAATCTGATTTCCTGGAGAGCTCTGTGGTGGGATTCTGTCCCGGCTAGGTCTCAAACATTAGCAGTAACATTACGTCGTGTGTCTAGACCCTTCCCACTGAAAGATCCTCGAGTGTTTCAGAACACATTGAATCCGAACAGCCCGTCTCGGGAGCGGGTGAGGTCACAATCCTAGAGCGAGCGGATGGGAAAAACACAAAACCTTCCCGTGCATGTGGATTCGGTCAGTTGACATCAGTGAAGTTAGGCCTTATGCAATTGTCCCCTTTGCATAGGAGAGGACCCGTAAGAAAGGACCTCAGAGCATCTCCTTACCCACAGTCCAACCGCCAGGACGAATACAAAGTACAGAACCAGAACAACAATGTCCACAGCCTCCAAGATCTTGTGGGGAAAAGGGTTCCAGCTGGGAGTGACCGAAGGCGGAGGGCTCCCCGGGGTCTCCATTGTGTCTCATGGAGATTCAGCTCCTCGCTTGCTTGCTGCATTTATCTGTTGAAAAGCAGAACACCGAGCTCTAGGGGCCTGTGCGGTTTGGGCAGGGACAGCAGCACAGTGAGGACGCTGCCCCCATTCTCAGTCGGGCCAGCCGGGGATGGTGTCTCAGACTGGTGGGTGGGCTCTTCCCTTGGGCGGCTGCTGTTACCTTTGTGCTGCAGCTCCTACCCCGGGCTGGGCGGAGCGGAGCAACCACAGCATGATGGGGAGGAGCCGGTGGTCTAGAGGGCCCCGTGGCTGCAGGTTTAGCAGCCCTGGATGTACTGACCTTGGAAAGAAGCCGCAGCCCCAGCAATGCCCGTGAATAGCCAGAAAAAAGGAAACAAATGAGCCGAGCGATTCCTTCCATGGCAACCAGGAGTGAATGTGAACGCCCAGCATCCCTGTGGCCGGTCCTCTGTGCTCCCATCAAAGGGCCCGACCCAGATTGCATGGAAGATGGGGGGAGTCTTGGCCTCTACTCAGCGCTGGACGTGGGCCCAGGAGGAGAGAATGGAGTCCAAATGGCCGGTGTCCAGGCACTGCCCCCGCCATTCCCTTATCACCCGGCAGGGGAATGCAGCAGCAGGGCTGGGACACGGTACCCCCCACGGGGCTGGGAGGAGTAAGGAGGCACCTTGCTTGTTTTGCTCTGCTGCTGCCAGGGCTCCGACAGGCTCAGCTGCTGCCAAATCCTAACCAGGGGCTTCCGCACACATCCCTCCCTCTGCCAGCCACAGACCCATTCCCCAGCGGGGTGGGGCGCTGAGCTGTTCATTTGTTTTCCAATTAAACAAAAGCTCTTTCTTGTCCGCCCGGCCCAGGGGGAGGTGGCACCCGAGGGTGAACAAACCACCAAGTGTCCTGGCTGGAGCGATCTGTGCTGGGAACTGAGAGCTCTGCTGAGCCAAGAGAGCCCTGCTATGTCCAGCAAGGACCCAGAGCAAAGACCTTCCAGGGGAGGTGTCTCCCCCTGCCCCCATCCTCCCCCCCCCCCCCAAACCCCCCACACCCCGGCTTGGGGGGAGCCCCCCCCCCCCAGAACGAGCTGATCACATCTGCCTTTCTGTACAATCGCGTCCCCAGCAAAAGCGGCACGTTTGCTCTGCAGGAGCCTGGGGAGAATCCCAGGGCACGTCCTCTCTGGGGGCGGGGGGGCATTAGCCATAGCCAGAGGGGGCAACCAGGAGCAGGCAGCTCCCTCGCTTGCTGAGGATTTACCTTTCCTTTCCCCACCGGGCCATGCAGCTGCTTCCCTTGAATGGGGACAAAGCCTCCCTTCTTCGGGGCTCCGGCACGTTTGCTCTGCAGGAGCCTGGGGAGAATCCCAGGGCACGTCCTCTCTGGGGGCGGGGGGGCATTAGCCATAGCCAGAGGGGGCAACCAGGAGCAGGCAGCTCCCTCGCTTGCTGAGGATTTACCTTTCCTTTCCCCACCGGGCCATGCAGCTGCTTCCCTTGAATGGGGACAAAGCCTCCCTTCTTCGGGGCTCGCACGGCCTCTTCCAACAGGCCAGACACTGGTCTGCAGGGCAGCGGGAGCACCTCTAGGACAAGGTCCTTTCCAGGATGGCCGGAGCCAGCGTTTGCTGCTCCTTGCTCCCTCGTCACACGCAGGCCGGAGCCTTTGGCCACTTGTGCTCCAAATGGGGCACCTTACGATGCCGCCTGGGTGTGGTGGGAAACCGCCGGGAGCTGGGCTGTCTCCCTCAGAGGTGCGCTCCGGCCCCGTGCTCAGCTCCTCAGACAAAGAGGCTCTTATTTGCCTGGTGCGGTGCAAGGGAGGAGCAGACAAACGGGTTCTGCCCCGGAAAGGCCTGCGGAGGTGAGAGCCAAGCAAGCTCCTTGTCCGTGGGCGTCAGTTTCGCCACGGCCACTGGCCTCGCCCGCGTACCGATACAAGGGAACAAAGCAGCCTCTCCGAGTCCCTCGCCTTCCCTGCCCCCTAACGAATGGCTTGGATTTGCCCCCCGCCCTGCCTGTCCAGTGGGGCCAGTTCCTCATGCCTAGAGGCGTGACAGAGCCCAGAGAGCACGTGGATTCTCTACAGCATCGTCCACCGAGGCACCGTGGTAGCGGCCCCACACGACAGCCCCACGGAGCGGTTCCACCCCGGTCGCCATAGTCCAAAGTACCCGCTCTAGTCAATGCCCCTTCCTGGGCTCAGCCCTCTGGCCCATCCTTCCTCAGGAGCAGCAGCGTTCGCTCCCTGCAGCTAGGGAAAGGTTGGGGGGCGAGCACCGCGACCATTCCCTGCTTTCAATCACCAGCGTTCTAACGCTTCCTGCTGCCTCTGTCTGATTTGCCCGTGGCCCCGTCACATGAAGCTTTTCCCGTATTATGGCCCAAATCCCAAATGATGCCCAAGACCTGCCGCTACGACCGAAATCAAAGCGAACTGCAGGATTTTGGCTTCGTGCACAGGAGCTGCTTCACCCCCGCAATTGCAGCTGTTTGTAGCGCACAGCCGACTCTGCCGTGTTAATTCATGGCAGGACAGGAAGGAAAGGAAGGTATTTATACATGCCCAGGGGAATGCCTAGGGCAACTTAGCTTGGGTGGCAGGTATTTGCTCACTGGTCTTTCCGTAGGATCCCCCCTGTAGGATGCCTCAGCTTGCTTGGGGCAGGAAGAAATTTAACAAACTCGGGTACATCTGATTTCCAATTCTGTGTGTGCCTGGGGCCAGTGGAAAGTTTGACAGGTTTGCTAATTCCGATCACGACCTAGCCTCCCGTTGCTCCCTTGGCATGAGCTGCAGCGCGGCGCTAGTCGGGGGTTCTGAGCAAAGAACATCCATGGCATTGAAATGCATCCGCTGAAGCCAGCCCTTCATCAGCGGCCAGGGCGAGATGGCAGTTCACGAGGGTGTCTCGTAACGTGCCAGAATCGTATCCTTTCTGTTGCGTCTCTCACAGGATTTTTATACATTCCTGATTCCTTTCACCTGCCTAGAACGCCCCAGGGTGGAAGGGAGAAAACGGAGCCCAGAACCGAACCCACCTGCTATCTGAGACCATCCCAGACACAAAAAGGAACTTACCACGTTCCGCTGGGTCTCATTCTGTTTGCTTGCAGGAGGCACCACCAACCAGCTGCCTGCCAGCCCACAGGGCAGCTTAAATATTGCCAGGGAACCGGGACTTGCCAGTGAAGCCAGTAGCAGTTTCACAAGGAATGAAAAGAAAAACGTGGAGGGATAGTTAAGCTAATTAGCCCAAGTTACTGTTCCAGTCCCTCTCTCCTCTGGTGTGAAGTGTGTGTTAGTCTCGCTATCAGGGCTTGTGGGGTCAAACTCCAAAGTGTGTTAGGCAATCATTCCAGCTAACAGGAAGATGAGTTACACCGAGGAACCCCCCCCCCCCGATCTCCCCTATCCTGGGTGGGGGGGATTGAAATCCAGCTCCGTATCTAAAGGCGCAACTAAGCCGTGAAAAGCAGGAAAATGCCCATCTCCTCTCCTCCCACAATCCTGGGGCAGGCACAAACTCCAAGCCCTGATATTCATTTCTCACCTGGATCCCAATCTGAATCTAGACTTGGCTTCCGGCTGGGGCGTCATCTCTGACAGGAATATACTGAAATACACCAAAACACCAATGTCCAACAGCACCTGGATAAAACACATTCTCGAGGGAGCAGAACTCTCCAAAGCACGGGGATGCTGCAGCAGGAGGTGCTGTACAACCCACCGACATAGATGCGATGGCTGGCCGCTAGCCAGGCAGGCCCCCAAATACGGCTGCGAAAGCCGGTCTCAGCCCGAAGGTCCCACCACACGACATGAGGTACCTGTCTGATTCAGAGAGATCCCGCTGCTATTGCGAACACTGGCGGGAACCCTGGCACGTATTTCACCCTGGCAGGATCCGCTCCGAGGCTGTGGGCTGCAGGTAGGGATGTAAAATCCTGTGTCATTGGTCGGAGCTGCCCCTGCCTGTGGCAGGAGGGCCGGGCCGGGCCCACCACAAATGGGCTGCTCCGGCCAGCAGGCAGAGCAGCCCCTGCTTGAGGTGGGCCCCGCAGGGATGGGGTGGGCAGGGAGCTGCTCCAGCCCCCACTAGGGAACTAGTAAGCCTCACCCACTAAGGGTCAGGCTTACCAGCTAGCCCAAGGGCAGGCAAGACACGGCCTACAGGCTAGATCCACCCCGCCAAGCTTTCAAGGCCCGTGGCCCAGCCCACTGGACCCACGGGCAGGGAGCAGCGTCAGGGCTCAGCATCTGGCTGCTCTATCTGCCTCTCTGTGCAGGGGGAAGCATCACACCCTGC